TTGCATATTATCATATTTAAAGATTATGTAAAAAGTTGGCTTGGCTCTTTCCAAACTCAGTATTAAAAATTTAAAGAATAACCAAGAATACACAATATACGAATTATTTTTTATGGGACTGTGTTCTTTGAGAAAATTCTTCCAAAATTAATTGTCATTTTTAAATGGAATTTCTGAAACGGTCCATATATTTTTACGGTTTCGAGTTTTATAACAAGCAATGGCGGCAGCATAAACAATCGGCATCACCTACAACAATTAATGTGATTAAAATTTTATAGAACTATTTTCAGACACGTTAGAGTTATGTTTATACAACGAGTGGTGAATCATATGCTTTTGTAATGAATTGTCCCAATTAACATTACATTTAAAAAAAATATTACGAAGTTAACGATAAATATCAGACAATGGGACCGGAGTAGGATTTTTAAAAACATATGCAGAAAACCATCAAGAATAATGGCTTTTACGAAAAACCGTGAGGATGCCAATACTTCGCTAGTGTCACTGTCACTCTTTCTTCCTAATTCTGTGACTCTGTTGAACTACTGATGAAAATGTAATTTATTTATTGTAAATAAAAAACATATATTGCTTAAAATGTTTTATATTATATGATCTGCATTAGTACGTAATCAATGGAGTTTTTGTTGGAGATTGTGAAAAAGGATTTAAAGATTATAATGAGCTATGAGATATATTTCAATTGAAATTGTTATAATTTTCTACGGTAGTATTGCAAGCATAAAAGTACAACTTTATGAATAATATGGGATGGGAATAAATATTTAATTTACAATAACGTTGTGTATTTTTTTATTGCTTATCGTAACCTTCGTTCATGAAAATTAATTATGCTAAACTATAGACCTTATATTGTAATCTTAATTCTGTAATTCATATTTATTATAAATTAAATCAAATGGAGTCATCGCGCATCGAATACGACAACTATGAAATTATTAAGGAAATTATTTAATCGACATATTACGTAAGATATGAAATTTGCTATAGGATAAACGTTTATAAAATATTGTTAAAAAGGATACGTCTTTTCGTACGTTTCTTGTACATAATTCTGTAACCACACTCCCTGCATCTGATTGGATCTCTGGGACGTATTTCATTATCGTGGTGGCATTCTGCAAAAATAATTGATTAAGTCTATAAATAAATCAGTATGTATTGTATTCAACGTATTTGAATCTCGAACGTTCTCGCGCACTTCATTTGTATCAAAATAACGATTAATACTTGAGAACGACCTCAACAATTTTTCTTAATTAGGTCCATAAATGAATAATTCAATTTTCGTTCTACTAACTTAATGATAAATGGATAATTAATTTGTTTTCTTTTAACAGTTTGTTGTTCACATTTAAGTTTCAAACGTTTCATGCACCATTTTCATTCAATAATGGCGACGGGAGATAGAAACATCATTGAACGGCAGGATTCCAATGTTTTTAATAATAAACGTCACACTCAGTAAAAAGAATCCACTTATGCTACTCGTTGATGCATCTGGTAATTACTTTCACAGTAAACTAATAGTTAATTTTAATTTCAAATTATATTCACATGCGTACTCATAAAAGTGAGGTTAATTTTGTATTATACTGTACCTCCGCAAATATAAACCATGGCTTGCTTTGGCGTTGATTCCGATTTGCTCGATTCCATTTTGTATAAACTTTCAACACAGTTTTTCTGCGTATTTATAATATATTTTTAATCTGCTTCGAGGAAATGTTTATATTGTACTGCCAAAAATTCAATGTACAACAGTGACATGCAGCGCTATGCCACAGAATATACCACAAAAGAAACTTTTATGTTGGAATCTTTGATGTTCGTAATCGTAAAACGTAACTTCGACATTTTGGACTTTTACATACACAGACAGTGTTGCCACTTTTTTCAAATTGATATCTCTATCATTTTAGTTAACAATTATTTTTAAATTACAGTTCACCTAGTCAGCTTATTCTTTCAGCATTAATTCATTCATGTCCCCGGAAGACAAAATAAGGATCCCCTCATGAGTTGATTTCCCCTTCCAATGGGTCTTTTCTCCAACATTTCAATTCCAACTCTGCAAATATGTATACGATAGGAAGTTTCTCTGTGTTCGTAACACGTTCGTGAAGAACATAGCGCGCGAAATTACGAACTAGCTAATACATAATCATAATTAATTCTACATTGAATTGAATCTTCTTCTCAGAATTGCCATTTCAAAGTTCAAGACTTCAGTACAACCGTTTAGTCACTAGCTTGAGCGTTTTGCCGTTACGTAAAATGGCGTTGTACTATTGCACAAACATTCAAACTTGAAAGGAACCAACGATTATTATCGAAATTTGCATTACGGTATGAATAATTAATGCTGGAACAATGCGCTTCGTCACAAGTGAATTGCAATTTTAAAATAATTACTATGACATAATAGAAATTCAAATTGGCCTATTAACAGATGTATTTGCATTGGAAATTGGTCACACTAATTACACTGTATACAGGATTCGACCATATAATATACACAAACGAGTATTGTTTGCTATTTATGTGAGTAGTAGAATTATTCTACTTTTTTCTTATATCTTCCGTCAGGTATCACCCTATTCTCAATGTATTTTGGCCAGATGCTGTATGTAGCATTAAATGGAATCAAAAACTCAAAATATTTAATAACAGTCAAAAAGTGTAATAGAAATATTTTTATTCAAATAATGTTTTCACCCAAGATATCATCAAACAATACTTTAGCATAGTTACAATATCATGCGAAGCTCCATTAATCCTGTTTTTCTGTCAATAGAGCATTTGATGCAGCTTTAACTGCTGAAATAAAAACTGTCATTAATGATTGATCCATATAATTATTTTATTCAGTTAATTATTAGACATATACCTGCGTTTTGAGCTTCTGAAATGAACTGATCAACTTTGTGATGATATCGCAAGAATGTGGGTCTAATAAGGACACGATACAAAACTAACGAACCATTATTATCCATGGGCACCATCAACCACATGTAAAACAGGCACTGAAACGGAAATTCACCATAGGGAATACATTATATATTTAATCAATATTGAATGCACTGTACCTTGAACAGCCAGTAAACTGGGAACCAGCATAGAATATAATCTGAGAAAGATTCAACAATTGTGAACACTGCAAAAACTACCCAATATGTTAACCATTTTTTGTCATCATCTTTGCTTGGACTCTCTAGAGCTTTCATAGAGCAATATGCAGGGTATACAAATCCAAAGATATTGCAAATTAATTGTTGCCCGACACCAAACACTAGGTAAATACCCAAAAACACTGCAGAGCCTGAAACAGAAGAAACAGATTCGATGTTTCTCGAAATTCTATCCTTTGAACTTAAACAAAAATACCCTTTTTAATCAATGTTAAATCATCCATAGTTGTTATTCTGTTACTAGTTTCATACTATACATATATATATATGTATATATATATATATATATATATCAATCATCATAATGTATAAGAGTTACTTGCAGTTTGTGTAATATCAAAATATTGACTTGTCATGCTCATAAAAGTAATTCATTTGAAGTTGTCGTTACGTAAAGCGAGAAACAACGATTTTATACAGTTACTTACCATACAGGGAATAAAAAAACGACTGGATCGATCACTAACGACTAACCTAACGAACTCACCTAAAAAGAGATAGGTCCTGTTAACCCCGGTTTGTTTCTCGATTTTCGCAAGATACTTTGTCCAAAGTTTGCTCTCGTCGTGCAAAGCTTTATCTAAAGAATCTTTAACTGCAGCAAGCCTCGCCATTTTGTTAACGAAAAGAACAACTGCCTACAATAAGAATGTAAGAATTTTACTAGTAATTTCTGCGGTAAAGACACAGAAATGCTGTAGTACTGCGCAGCTGTGCGAATTTAGGTATGACAGTATTCGACAGCGTTGCAATTCTACGAGCTACATTTTGGCGGGCTTTCGTACTTCTACACACTTCCGTTTCCATGCGAAACTGGCTCGAACGATAATCTGATTTTGACAGTACGATACTTTTTTCTATTGGTTAAAGAAAAGACAAGAAAATTCTGGGATGATTATTTATTTTACAGTTTGTACAATTAGAATGGACGCTAATTCAAACCAGCTGCTAATAATATCTAGGGACTTTCGGTTTCATTGTAGAGAGGGCGCTCGATCGACTTTGTTCCAACCCTTGCTCCACCCTTACAGTGTGTTGTCGTGCGATTGCGCACGATCTAAAAGTAATTTTATATTTTCACATGTTTTCTGTTACATCTATTGCCTTAATTAATATTGTTATTATTTGAATAAGGAATCTAATTTCGTAAAGAGATGAAAAGGTTACATGCAAACAATCTAAGAAATTGCACATCTAATTTTCTGTCTCTTTTCGCAGACTTGTGGTACGCCTATGGATCTTACATTATTTTCCCGCCAAATCTTTTCTAACGGTCCCAAGATCAAGAGAAGCGCGACATCTGACGAGGGGATGTTTTCTGAGCTTTCCACCGAAAGTACATAGATGGTGTTAATCGGATCAGAAGATGGCGTCGGTTAACACGATTTAAATATTGAAAAGTTTGCCGTTGAAAGTCCACATTGTTCTGCTGCAACTGGTTAGTGCAGAACTTTTGCTGTATTTATTATTTCTTAGTCATAGTAAACAGAACGAACAATTGAGGAATTAAGATCGCATCTGTAGTAGACTATTGTTATCGCTAGAATGATAACAAATGACTGATTAGTGCGTGTTGTCAAGATAATCGTTTTGCAACAAGTATTACGATATATGTAGCTAGACACGATAATCATTGCGATAATTATCATTGTTTCATTCAGAAAAATCATCGATTGACAAAACTCAGCATTGTTTGATCTCGCGTGCTAGAGAGTGGCGCAATCAGAAATTGTAATATCATAATGTATTTAGAAGTATGCCATTCCTTATTAGTAAACAATTATAACATATTCAACATTGGAACACTAAAAACTCAAATTAGCATAAACATAAACGAACTCGAGTTCCTTTCTTTGGGAAGTTATTTTGACAAAACCAGACAAAGCACAAATTTCTCGTTTTTAAGGATATTCACTGCTATCTAATAGCGTTATGTAAACCTTTTTCGAGCGCCAAAATGATGGCATGGGACGATCCCTAAGGAACTGCTTTCCAATTGTATGAAACATATAAAACAAATCGTGTGGCTAATCTACTTTTAATTTGCCAGAACATTACAAATCTTCGAGAACGTTCTCTCCACGGTTATGTTCCACGCTTCAGCCACTTCTGGAGTGAATTGTTTCCCGAGTATCTGACGAAAAACGTCCAGTATCACCTGCTTCATATCCTACGAATAAATTAGGTTGTTTATCAAAATTGTTGTACATTCTGAAAAGAAGTACACATACCGCAAAATTAATATTTTCTTCAAATATGGTACTTTTCGAGGACTAACAATTTTTCGTAATTTTTTAAATTATTCAATTGAAATACCTGAAATTGCTGCTCCGTCTGTCCGCGATTTTTGTGACGCTCAGCCAACATGATCAGATTCGCGTCCATTAATCCCGGGTCGTGCAAGGAATCGATAACACTATTTAAGGCTGCAATTATGTTAGCACAATGAGCCTGAAACTTTTTGTTAGCTGGCAGTTCGGGTAATGGCATGTCCTTGAACGGTTGAAACTCTTGCTGATACACCGGGTATTTGGTGAAATATCTGAAAACAGTTGATTGACTATTCCGATCCGTTATAAAATAAAAATTATTTAAATGTACAATAGATCTTGAGAAATCTAAATATGTCATTCGTGGGACCTCTCGAGGTCATCTTTCTTGTGGAATTTAATTATTATCGTCAGAGCCATACAACATTAGGAAAATAATAATGGAGATAAATGAGGTATAAAAAAATTATCATAAAAATCTTTCTATCCCGTTATCTTCGAAAAAGAATAATTGTCTTAACGAAGAATGTTAACATATAATGTTGATATACATTTCCCAAAAATAATCTCGATATTCTGCCCTAGTGCAATTATATTTAAAATGTATGCCATTGTTAGTCTAGTATTAACATGTTTTTATTGCAGATGTATGCGACTTGTTAGCGTCTTCGCAGTAGAAATAAACAGGTCCGGTTATAATAGATCTGTGACGACATCAAAGGCAGTCTCTCAAACTGACTGTCGAATAAATATTTCACTCACGCGATCATCACGGCTACCCCCGAGTTGACTTGATCCTTTTTTATCACTGTCCACGTGTTCTGCACCAGCCTTTTCTGTCTATCCGTTAGTCCTGTTGCTTCATCCAGTCGGTTGTCCTCGGCGAGGTACCCGAAATACCGTAAAATGCTTGCCATGGTCAGCAGCGTGCATACACAACGATGTCTCACAAGGAAACCGCAAAATCTATTCAATCAGAATCTATTCAAATCGATGAAAATAAGGACCTCAAGATCTCAAGCTATACGAGATAACATGTGTGGATAATGGTTCACAGCTGATTCAGAATCAGACGAAATCTCCACGCAGCCGTCGCACATTTTATTTTACATTTTATCGTAATGACAATCGCGATTTTTCAAATCACTGCAGTTCGAAGCAAAATTGAAAAAGTTATCGAACTGTTTCGAGCACTGCGAATGCACCAATTGCGAAACACCAATCGCAACAAACGCTGTGAAACAGCTAGCTTTCTCAATTTTCAATTTTTTCAAACTTTTCGGATTGACATTTAATTGTAATTTCAGATTGCGATGCTTCCGGCAACTCCAGAAGATTTCGACTTCGCGCGAAACTCTCCGGCGCACTGATGAATGCGGACATGTTGGTTGGATGAACGGATGATCGAAGAGAATGCTGTCTTCGCGGTGATTTCGGATAACGCATATCGATCCGGCTGGATCACCGTGATCGCGGGAGCAAGCGTTTTGATCGAAGCTAAGGCAATTACCGTTATTTCGTAGATATGTCACGTGCCACTGTTTGCCGTCGTGTTTCAATTCACTGACTCGGTGGCACGGATGGATGGCAGCTAACTCGGCTCCTCTCAGAGCTGGATTAACCGCAGTCTCTGGCTGTCTAATACTGTTTTACATCTATCCCTTCCAGGTCGACGCCGACGCCATTAATGGCACACGTTTAAGCGATTAAAATTGGTGATCATGGTTTTGAACGCGTATTGTACATACACGTCTGCCCGTGTACGCGTATGTGTACTTAATATACACGTGTAATTTTTAATACACGTGTTGTTAGCCGCTTCATTTTCTGTATTAGAGACTTTTTCATTTTAAATATTTATCCTCATTGGTATTGTTGAATACCGGGTGAATTGAATCGGACACTGTTTTATACTGTAAGAGTGTTTTATTTCATGATTACATTACTTCTCGGTTCACGATAACAGTTTTGGAATCACAACACGGTGCGTAGACTGTATTTCAGATCTCAGCTTTGAGAGTATTGTGCTCTTCAGATGATTTACCCTGGTGATATCGTGTGAAGGATGAGTAACGTGAATGCGAACCCTTGCAGTCTAAACAGTTGACACGAAAACAACCGACTCACTGTGGACAGTAATGACAAACACAGTACTGTTCACTTGAATAGCCCCAGTAAAAAATGTGCATGTTTGGATGAATGAAAAAAGACTTTATGCAAGGTTTTTATAGTATAAGTTAGGTAAGCGTGTAATAGGGATAAACAGATAGCATTTGTTTCCATTCTTGCGTATATTTCTGAGACACGAACAGTCTTGCTTCTTTATTCTCGCGTATTCATTAATTATCCACCAGCGAGTAAAAACGTATCGTATAAAGTGACTAAACAAATTGAACACCAAGTTTCGAGGGGTCGTTGTAAAGGAGAAGCTTCAATCTCCAAATCCTCGGTAGATTTATTCGTGAAAAAAATTTTCCAATATTTTTGGAGTCGCTTCATTTGTACCATCACATATTGAGTAAAATTATGTCTTCAGATTTGCACTTACAATATCGTGTAAAGCCATGATAAAGACGCTGTTAGAGTTCTGAAACTACTCTATAATTAAACACAAAGAAATTTGTAATCGTTCCGAGATAATTAAATCTTTTACCTGAAGTCTTCCGGGGTTTTTGCGGGGCAAGGGGAACAAACGAAGGCTCCGCCTTCTGCCTGGCGCATTGGTGGGGCCTACAGTAACGATTGGATAACCGAATGAAACTCGAGACCGAAGTGTCACTCATGAGAGCATGGTGAATTTTCAGATCTCGGAAAGGCTCAGACCAACCTTAGACTTTCACCTTTGTACTTCGCTAAACGTAGAAATGGACAGCAAGTGAAGGATAGGTATAATAATAATGCAATGTGTAAAACCTTTTTTTTATATTCTTATCTTGGCTTAGTGGAACTTTTAGCCATGTAATTGTGCGGCTTTCCCAACAAAACAAGGCCAAACACGATACAATTTTTGTAATATTATATCTTACAAAATTTTGCGATATACTTTTCAAGTTTTTTAGAAAATCGATAATAAAACGACAATAACATTTTTGTTTTTGCAGTTTATGACAAACAATTAATATTAAGTAAACCCAAGCTCGTGTTTGGTCTTGTTTTAATCGGAAAAATCGCACAAATACATTGATCGAAGTTTTATTTAAAACGAAACAAAAATAGGAATGTTTCATCTTTGCAATATGTACTTTGTATGTGTTGTCTCACGGATATTCGAGCCCGAATCAGGCTACAAACTAAGCGGTCCGTTTGACGTCGAGCTTCATGGTATGTCAAGGGGAGTCTCCCCTCAGTAGAGGGCATGACTACCATGCACTTATCCAAACAAAAATGGCTTGCAGTTATCCAAGCATTACCGTATTGACATATGTAGACGTAGAATCTTTGTACCGATCTACTCAATCAGTTGTTTCCGTAGTGACGGCTCCAGATCAATGCCTGTGGTTATAGATTATCGATCGATGCGCTCTATCTCACTTGGTTTTGCTCATCTTGTCCACTCTCTTTGTCGTACGATTTCGGCATTTGCCATTCGTGTATCTGCCACCGGCGTTTGCCCGTCGAAAAAGTTAATATTTTAGCTGATATCTTTATACAATAATAATTGCAAATCAATTTTCATCACGATGTAAGCTTGCAATAACCAGTGGTATTATAACATTAATAATATTGTCTAATAAGTTCTTGTAGATTCATTATCTTAAAGAGTGCCAATTCGACTGAAATCATTAATAAGTTTAATTTCATAGAAATCGTTTGTGTACAAACAAAATGTCTAGGAAATTACACATCTAATTTTCTGTAAATCTTGCAGATCATGGACTCCGCATCACGCCCTCGGCAACCTCTCAGCGGTCCCAAGACCGAGCAAAGGGTGAAACCTATCAAAGGGCGCAACTTCCAACCGGAAATAGGTACCGACACGCTACTCGATCCAGAAACTCGCAAGAAGTGTTTTACTTGACCAACATTTTCTGCACATTTTCGAGCATACGAACAACGCCAATCGGAAGGACGGCGTCACCGAACTCGATTTTGAGATTGAAAATCTCGGCTGTCCTCTGTCAAGTGGCGAACGTAAGATTTTTGCAAATTGTACTGTCACGATGTCACGTGGTGTGAAGTTCACAAATCTTGCGTAATGTGGAGAAAATAATAGCAACATTTTTAGCCGATTATCGTCGTCGCTCGACGATTACATCTCCAAAGGTAGATAAGCTAATTAATATAAAAAGGTACTGTAATAAAAATTGTAACCGATAATAGGTGCGAGAGGAGGCCGACATGACGTAGGTAATGAAAATAACATGGTCGGATAAAAGATACCTGATTACTACGAAGAAGATTATTTTTACAACGATGTACCTACAACTTCCTCGATAACTATCGATACTTGACATGACAGCACAACATGGATATTATCGCTCCGCTGAAGATGTTCACCGGCAATATAGGCGAAAATACGCTCATTGTCGCATTTAGAGGAAACCAGCTGAATCAAGAGCCAGAGCCCGAGCCGATCGAGGTAAGCTGTCACGTATGTTTATGATTGTGGTTCGGTGAAAGTACGGTCATTTTGGTGCCGAACGCTATTACAGAACGCTTGCCGGACAAGTGCCTCAGTGACCCTAGTGACTATTACACGTTTAGTGGACGCGGTCTTGGGTCAGAAACGACCGACGTTTGACATCGCTGTAGATTCCTGGAGAAGAATTGGGTAGCAATTTACCTGGGTTCGTCCCGAAGAGAAGTTTGCTTGCCCAATTAGTACTATCTTTCAAACAAGTATCGCTACCGGTGGCAAGATCGACGGTAAATTAGTCTGGCAGATTGCACCTGTTGTAACTAGGTGAGCAAACTCCGCACGCCTGTCTCGACTCGTTTTAGAGCTCCGGGCCTCCGCTCGATTGAATGTAAGTTGTTTAATATTTTTTTACACCGCGCATTCAATTGCGGATTTGTAGTTCAGTTTGTACAATTTCAAACGTCCCTACGGATTTAAGATCATTCTTGTTGCGACTGGAAATCACTGTGGATTTCATCAACTATTGATCGAATTTTAGTTTTACAATCGTGTTTGCACAATTTCGAATATTTCTACCGATTCAAAATCATTCGACTCGCAACCAGCGATCGCTATGGATCGGAAGACCGAAATATCCTTTTTGCAACGTGCGCGGAAAATTGAAAAGTTCCATTTCTTTCCGTTTACTTTGCACTTCGGAGGCAGTCCATAGGATTTGATTAATTCTTCTATCTGCTCGATATCATAAAGTTTGATCCTACGGATTAACCTATGACTGAAAGTAACAGCTAGGATTTGTAACATTATGTCTATGGACAGTTACTGTTTCTACTATTATCTATTGATAATATCGTAGATTACGTTACGAAAGTGATTTTTATATCCCGATCTTCGAACTATTCCATGGAATATCGATAAAAAATTTCCGAGATATCCTGCGTACCTTTCCTCACAAGTAAAAGATAGTTTATTCACATTTTAAAAACCACTATCCTAAGCCTAACGATTATTTAAAAGAATTACCGTTATTCATAAGTACATAATAATAAATCGATATAAAATTGATGGAACGACGACGTTCGGCATTTTCCGAGAAAAATTCATGGAAATCATAACAGTAAAAATTACAAAATGTGTTACATTTTTATAATAACAGTAGCGACGTGCGATTGCGCGATCGACGTCCGTTAGCCTAATTTACCGCGACAAATCGGTATCACCATAAATTAAGAGGACTAACGCGGGAGACAAAATCGCGAAAGACCGGAATCCTTTTTACAATGTACCATTTTTCGAGCACGTAGGTTTTCTCAAAATGATGGCGGAAATGAATATTTGTTGAAAACGCTGCACTAGTCCTCTTAATTGTTTAAAACAGGTGTCGGAAAGTATGCGAACCGCGTTCAGCAGGGATAGAGACGCTCCTTCATCCCGATTCGACGCGTTACAGCTGTACGAAACATGTAAAATAGAACGCTTAAACCATTTTTAAACTTCCACCACTTCGTATATTATTGAGAACGCTCCTTCCAAGGTTTTGCTCCACGCCACGGCCACTTCCGGTGTGAATTGTTTCCCGAGTGCTTGACGAAGAACCTCCAGCACCACCTCCTTCAAGTTCTAGAAACGAATTCGTTTGTTTTAGAAATGAATCTCGGCTACAGAAATGGTTTCATTGTTGTACCGTTGCGAGAAAATATCGGACAGGGACGCGTACAAGCTCGTTTCGAAGGCTGAAGTTTCTACTTTCGTCGCTACCATTCTAGCCTTATTTTTATGCTCCATTGCTTCCCTTTGTTTTAAACGGCTTGGCAGTATAAATCGAGCGCGAAGTCGATGACAGCCTGTTTCGAACATTTTACGAATTCAAACCTTCCGGCGGAGGTAAAAAAATTTTTTCCGCGATTAAAATCACTACCAACTTGAAGAGTGAAGCTTCCTCTTTCCAGAGACGTATGAAAAATCGACGTACGATTTTTCCACGTCGTTTTATCCAACTTTGAACAGACCCTCACCGGAGGTAAAAGGCTTTCGAAATGTTTCAAACTCAAACGCTTTCGGTGAGCTCGGAAAATTTTTTTAGCGATCTGTTTTAAGATTATATTGTAGAGGACAGTCTCCTCTTTGCAACGGTCTCAAAAATATTAACGTACGATTTTCTCTCGCCATTTTGTCGGACTTCGAACGGAAGATTATCGGCAAATCGATAATTTCTTTAAGGATGACATCTTTTCGAGGACGGCCATTTTTTCGCAATTGTTTCAATTACTCGATCAAAAATACCTGAAAGTGTTCCTTCTTCTGTCCGCGGCTTTTATGTCGTTCCGCCAAGCCGATTAGGCTAGCCTTCATTAATCCCGGGTCGTGCAAGGAATCGATGACATTGTTTAGAGCCGTAATTACGCTGGCACAATGAGCCTGAAACCTTTTGTTAGCCGGCAGTTCGGTTACTGGGATGTCCTTGAACGACGCGAAGTATTGCTGATACTCCGGGTATTTGGTGAAGAATCTAGAAAAACCGTTGTCCAACGATCCGTAATCGTGCGAAACTGTTAGGGACGCGTCGCACAAAGATTCCAGAACCGCTCGAGCGACAATTTCACGAACTTATCATAAACCGTCATTTCTGTTTGACCTCGCGGACCGTATAGTTAAGGGAATCCGAGCTGAACAACCCTAATCTAGCCGGCAATCATCCCATTTGCAAATAATCTATTCTACATTCTGCAGAAAATTTCGTTTGCCGAAGTGATTTCATCTAATCTGCTAGAACAAAAGATAATTGAATAAAACTTGCCAGATAAGGGAAAGATGATTTCAACGTGACCCTTGCGAGACTTATCAAGGTCACTTTGACTTACACTCGATGTTGCACAATATTAGGAAACTCTAATCGCGTGTTATAGAAAACACGGATGAGATAACAAAGCGAGCAACTGGAAGTCTGAAAAATTATCAGAAAAATCTGTTCACCCTACTATCTTATCTTAACGACGTTAAGTACATTAACGCGCGGAAACGAATTGAACCGCTTCTAAAAATGATATCTCGATATTCTTCTCCCGGTGCAGTTCCGATCGCATTGTGCACAGGCTCCCTCGGCGCCCAAAATTAATCCTCTTCCAGATCACGTTCAGCAAATCGAATTAACCCTTTCGTATCCACGTAGTTGCGAATCGATTCAATCCATTCACGAACAACTGAGCGAACGATCTACGAACGGATTGATTCGTGCGCCAAATTTCGTGTCGAGCATTAAAATCGCGCGTACAGAATTGCTGTTGCAGAATCGATGCGCACACAGCGGGCCGCCTGTTTTTGCCATTGCCGGGCCGTTGCACGGGACTTGTTAGCGTCTTCGTATAGAAAGTAATAGGTCCGGTTCAAACAGATCTATGACGACATCGGGGGTTATCAGAGGTGATCTCTCGCGAGTCGGCTGTCAAAAGCGAGCGAACACCGTGAGGCACTTACGCGCTCATCACAGCGATCCCGGAGCGCACTTCATCCTTTCTGATCACCGCCCACGTGTTCTGCACTAATCTCTTCTGTTTCCCAGTCAGTCCGGTCGCTTCGTCCACACGGTTGTCGTCGGAGGACATCCCCAAGAGTCGCAGAAAGTCTCCCATGGCTGGCAATGTAAAACCGCCCCGCGATCTTCCGCGAGAATTCCGAATTCACCGCCGACAACAGAAAGGAAAAGAAACGCGAGAACTTAATTAGGCGAGAAGTGCCACGGGGAATTCTCGGAATACACGGATAAAGGATCGGGACCGATTCGGAAGAAGACCGTGGCCACAGTGGAGCCGTTTTTTTTCGGCCCGTCGGCCCTCGGTTTAAAACACACGCGATCCTCTCTGCGAAGCATGTGTGCCGTACGCATCGACGAACAGCCCATTGTGTGAATTTGGCCGGCGGCCGGCCGACCGAAAAACGGCCCCACCGTGACCAAGGCCCGAGGCGAAATCACCGCAAAGTCGTCCTACGTGTTATTTCTCCGTTTTATTGAAACGACAGTCGCGATTTTCGGGATCGCTGGGGTCCTGGGCGAAGTTGAAAACTGTTGGACCGTTTTCGAGCACCGTGAATTCGTCGGTTGCGAAACAACCGTCGTCAATATTTTGCCATATTTCTCGAATTTTGTGGAATTCTCTCGACTGAGATTCTATTGTAATTGCAGATTCGGACGCTCGCGACGGCGCCGGAAGATTCCGACTTTGCCCGAAAAAAAACTGCGGCGAACCGGCGAACGCGGAATTTGGTTGGACGAATATGAATGGACGATCGAAGAGAACGATGTCTCGGCGATGATTTCGGGGAACGTGCACCGATCCGGCTATAGATCGTCGCGAATTGCGATCGCGGGGGCGAGCGTTTTGATCGGAGCTGACGCAATTACCGTAATTTGGTGCGATATGTCACGTGCCACTGTTTGCCGTCGTGCTTCAATTCACTGACTCGGCGGGCACGGTTGGACGGCAGCTAACTCGGCTCCTCTCAGAGCTGGACTAACCGCCGTCTCTGGCTGTCTAATGCTGTTTTACATCTACCCCCTCCAGGCCGACGGCGACGCCACTAATGCCACGCGATTAAACGATTAAAATAACCGCGGCAAAAATTATCGTTTTGTGGCCGGTCCGTCATGGGTTCAATAAACATTTCGTCGGGTCGACATAGGCGTTCAGCGAGTGCCAGCCACGCACCGTCGCGGCGCTCGGCGATCGCGATCGATGATCCGCCATCGAACCTTTTCAATCGTTCCATCGAGTTTCATTGAGGATTACCGGACTCGCCGGAAATAATCGGCTCGATTCTAAACGCTAGAATTACCAAACTCGTATAAATGACCAATATAATGTTCCTTATCGAACATTTATTAATATCGCAAAGATGCTTTTGTCGATTGCTGCAGCAATGTGTCCATTTAGTCGAATGTGTTTTGTAATTAAAACTGTGCCATGCCTTGATAAATACGACCCTGTTATTTCAATACAAACTCGAGGACGTTTTTAGTTCTTTGGTAGTTCCAGTGTTAAATAATTGAGGACTATAGCACTTAATAATTAGAACTACTAAGGATAATTAAGAGTCATTGAAATCGATTATAACTGAGAATTGTTGAAACTACAGATAGTAATCTGGATAATCTGGAACTGTTGGAAATGATTGAAGATAGTAAAAGATAATGGAAAATTAAGCAACAGTCGATCATTTGTAAGCCATTGAAGATTAACAATAACACAGCATTTTCAATCTCCACGCTAAATCAACCGGTAGCATCGGAAAATCCGCAGGAAACAATCGCGAATTGTCGAGAAATGATTGGCAATAACAACAAACAATTGGAAAACAATTGCAAACAAATCCGATCGCATAATCGCTGAGCCGATAATCGCGTTCGCCAGTATTCGATCCTCCCGGCATCGTGCCACGACCGCCCGCCCCGTTTCCATTTGCGGTTTCTCGATAAAGGACATTCGGTTAATCGTCCGGGACCAATTACGACCTAACTCGGCTAACCTGATGCGCCGAGTTTATTACTTTAATCGATTAACCTTGCCCTGTGTCCTGGCGACGCTGCATCGTTCGGTGAAAACGCCGGGCAAACTTGTTCTTTCGAATTTTTCCTTCTAAAAGATCCCGACGATATTCGAACGATCCTAATGATTCTTAATTGAGCAGTCGTACATCCAGCCGTTATTAAGGCGTCGAACTACAGTATTATATAACTAAGTGGAATGACAGCAATTGTCGTCGCGCAAATGTGCCATTGGCAACCGGATAAAAAATCAGTCGTTTCATCAATTTTATCACTATCTCAATCTTAATTCACTGCACGACATCTTCTGCGCGACGAAAGAAATCGGATGCACACCTGGCAGGTGCAGAGTTGCGACTAGTTCATTTCACACGGTGCTCACGTACCGTTCTGAAAAATGATGCGCAGGTTGTTATAAGTCAACGAAGCGAGTAACGTCGTCCAATTACAAATACGTACTATTATAGTTTATTAGCCAACGGAACGCGACCGTTCAATACCGTCGAACATAGCAATATCAAAAATAATTAAACGCCTAATCGAGCGAATATTTTTCAGACGAAACCCACGGAACCCGCGAAACCTATTTGCGCCGACAAAATGACAGAAACGGATACAACGAAAGTCGCCGATGATCAATCGCAGACAGACGAGCCCAAGAAGGATGAGGGCAAGGGCGTGATCTATCCTCAGATAATCGCCACTCTCGTAGGTAATTACTTGAATCTCTCTAGGAAGGAGTTTTTGTTTTGCCATTGAGAAGTGCCCAGCTGTACTGTGTGCACAATGTAGCAGGAAGTATTTAGCCATGCGAACCACGCAGGAAACGTGATTGTTTAAACTGAGTTGCCAGCGACGTTCAAAACAAAGCTCTTCTTCAAATCGTTGAGACAAGAATCTTTCAAGGAAGGAACCCGATGTAGCCAATAGATATAGAAAAATAAATGTAGCATGATAGATATAGCAAGACGAATGTAGCAAGATAAATACAGCAACATGAATATAGCAAGATAAACGTAGCGAAATAAATATGGAAAACTAAATATAGCAAGATAAAGGTAGCGAAAGAAAAATAAATATAACACATATTCACAAAGTGTAACCAATTTTTTCTAATTACAGTGAATCTGGTACTGCTATCATGCGGACTATGCTATGCCTGGCCGACGGTCAGTCTGCTGAAGTACCAGAAGCCCGACTCGCCTATCAAGATGAAACCAGAAGAAGAGTCCTGGGTGGTCACAGCGGTACCATTGGGTGCCATAGTTGGGCCCCTCTCAGCAGCCCTCCTAGTGGATCGGATAGGCAGGAAATGGTTCATCCACCTGTTGTTCTTGCCCAGCCTCATCGGCTGGATACTGATCTACCTTGCCAAAGATTGGGTATTGCTCCTCGTAGGACGACTTTTCTGCGGCATTCCAACCGGAGCCGCATTTGCAGTTATTCCCCAATATCTTGGGGAGATTGTGGAGACTAGGAAAAGAGGGGCTGCGAACTTTATGATGGTCATATTTCTAAATGCTGGATACATTCTGATGTACGGGGTTGGGCCCCTGGTGAATCAGCAGGTAGTTTTGAAGTTTTATCGAAAGGTACGAAGCATTTCCACGAAATTATAAATGCAAATACGTATTGCAGATGCTGGCGATCATCTGTACAATACCACCGATCCTCCTATTTTTGCTGGTGCCCTGGCTACCAGAGTCTCCTTACCATTGTCTGAAGAAGAATAATGCGGAGAACGCAGAGCTGTCCCTGATCTGGCTGAGACGCAACATAAACAACAAGGATAAGATAGACGAAATTAAAGAGTTCATAGAACGAGAAAAGGACGGTGGTTTGAAGAAGCTGTTCGCAAAACCAGTGCACCGGAAAGCACTGTACATTATGTTACTGCTGCTGGCGGGTCAACAACTATCAGGGATAGTAGCGATCCAGTCATATGCCGGCGTTATAATCAGAAACATTAACGTGGATGTCAGCATACACTTGATCCTGCTCGGTCTAGGAGCGTGTAGCTTAGTTTTTGGCATTATAACATCGGTGATCATCGACAGAGTCGGCAGGAAACCTCTGTACCTGTTCTCGGCGTACACCACAGTTCTTTGCTTGGCCGCCATGGGAACCTACTACCTGCTTGAAGAAATGCGATTCAATGTTAAACCGTATGCTGCGGTGCCTGTAGCGATATTGATACTTTTCTACCTGGCGGTCACCGTAGGTGTAACCAGCATTCCAGCGGTCGTCTCTGGTGAAATCTTTCCTATAAGCGTGAAAATATGGGCATCCTCCATAATCAACACCTATGGAGCCGCGCTAGCTCTCCTCGTTTCTAAGTCTTATCAGCCTATACTCGATGCCTTTGGCCTCAAAACCGTTTTCTATATTTTCGCTCTAGTTGAATTAATAATCGCCACTGCCTCTATCTTCATCATGCCGGAGACTGCAAAGAAGTCGTTCTCGGAGATCCAAGACGAACTCAACAGGTCTATTATTGCGAGACAGCATAGCGACGAGGAACTAGTCACTGAGGAGGTACCGGCTTAGAGACACGGATATGATCTTGTACATTGTGTAATATAATACAAATAAAGGATAGTTAAGTATTTCAAGCATTCCCATCACTCAAGAATGAGGACGACTGAAAATAACTGAAAATTGGACTCGATGAATTGGAAATGAATGGGACATCGTTCAACATTCATTTAATAATAAAGTACTACATTTTCTTGCAACGTGGCTATACTGAGTAGTTGTGGCCAGCCAGCAAAGAGCTCTGTCTTTTACGCTCTCTTGCCCGTGCGCGGTTCGTTGAATTCTCCGACAATTCTTCAAAGAAAAAATACGACTCATTTTTTAAACAACACTGGACCAAAATTGCAAAAGAAAGGAATGTACTTTTTTGCGAAGACGAGGGTTGTTTATCATCCGGTTGAGTGAATGCGGCTGAAGAAGAATCTTCCACTGCCTTTTGCTCCATCGGAGCTAACTCCTGCTGCAATTGGATTTCAAAAATGTTTTTCTCAATGTCTGAATGAGTATTTTATACTTGTAATTGACCTCGTGTAAATGTTTCATGGCGTCCGATTTGGGAACTTTATTGTTATGGGATTTATTTTTATATCGATTGGTGAACAGCCAGGAACTGTGGAGAGATCTCTGGTACTGGTACTTATCTGGCGATAAAATGATCATTTAACAAAATGACTGTAAGAGAAATAGTTGTGATTTAACCTGTGGTGTAATCACTGTCGGTGCTAGCTCGTTTGTTTACGGACTTCCACGTATGACGTCTCTGATCGGCTCGCCTTATTTCCATCGTTCTTCGACGAGTTTGCAACTTTATTCTGCGTTGGTCAGGTACACTGACCCCCACTGGTCCCAGGTCTAGCGAGGCCCAAACGGCCCTTCGGTATTCCCAATAGCGTTTCTTGTACATCCAATATTTCAATGGATAGTTGTATAATATGTCAGAATCTTTCGTATAACACCAACCGCAGAACTGTTAACAGTCGCAGAAACATTAAACAGATATATTTAATTTTGGATTTATGTATTCAAGAAAAATACGTACTTTGGCCTGTACGGTTTGTTTGCCCGAATGTAATATTATCTGGTCGATCTTTTTTCTGAGTTGCTCCATCAGATCTAACATTGCCTCGCATATAATATTGAAATACTTCATTTGCACGATGACATTCTCCGCGGTCATCAATTTCGGTAGCTCGGTGCATAAACACTCCACAATGCACGATATAAAATTCTAAAATATTTTTAATTAATTAAAAATAATTGAATTATTTCATTAACATGCCTTACGAACCTCAAGATCTCGTACAGACAGCCCCATGTCCTTGTGGACCATCGATATGTAGCCGATTAGATGGTCCCTCTGTACGGGCTTCTTATTAAAATTGATAAACAACGCGGCCATAATGTCGCAGATGACGGTGAATTTCTTTTTCACTTTTGCTTCGCGTACGAACTCTGGTATCTGCAAGTCTTCGAAGTATTTTGCGTATTGAGGGTGATTTTTATAAAGTCTGTAAATCACATACAATTATAATATTTGATAATATAATCGGATTATTCGATGGTTAATGAATCGGGGATAGCTACATCGTACACATCGCGAAACCGTAATACGCGCTATCCTTTCCTACAGTTGACCAGATCGTTTTTATTATTTCGTGGTCATTGCTCGTGATTAGAGTATCATTGTACGGTTTCTTGCTTGTTCTAAACAACCTAATTACATTCCCCATCATGCAAGATATCTTGATACATTGGCAAAATAATTGAAAATCGTCTGAAATATCATTTATTTGTTGCACATAATATTTACATATAAACGTAGTGTAGTAATACTATATTGTATGGATGTAAAATTATGCTCTTTTCGCAATAGATTTATTACATAAATTTTTCGCATTTAAGTACGCTCTTATGCAGAGACTTTACACAATGTATCTGCATATTGAAATTCGGAACTGTTCTCATACTCGCACATGTCTAAAGCAATTATGCAGCTCTCGCGTACAACTCTTTTGCTGTCATTCAAATATTTATTTAAAATACTAAAACAATCTGGAGTCGCTATGGAGCCTAGAGCCTCAGCACACTCATGTCGAACCATCTCATTCTCATTTTCATCTTCTAGCGAAGCTTGCAAATATGGTACAGTGATTTCTTCCTGCAATTGTCCAAGAACAAAGGCTATCTCATGTCTGAACAGAGCACTGTCAGCTTTTAAACCTGTAAATAGAAAAGAAGAATATATTGCAATGTAAAATATTATAAAATGATATTGGTATAGACTAGAATATTAGTTAAACAGATATTTTTACCTTCACAGAGAGCAAGAATGCTTTCAGGTGTACAGATATTCCTTAATGAGAACATAGCTTGGTATCTTTCAAATAAAGAAATGTCTTCATTTAAAAGAATATTCTTTAATTTTTGAACATCAGAAATATCTGTTGGTGGGGCTGGATCCACCGACATGTAAGGACTCCTTTTAGAATTCGTTGAGACATCATTTGACTTTAACCATTGCATTCGGTTTAATGCTAACTGACAAGTTTCTGCCACTTCTGGTACACAGTCCTTGCTGTACTCTTCCAAGATTGGAATTACACTAACATCTCCAATTGCACCCAAAGCTTCCCCTATAATAACAAAAATTAAAATATTTAATTGTTTTATAAATTAAAAGTTACAATTTAAATTTACCTGCTTCGTGGCGGACCATTGGTTCTTGGGATACATCTTTTAGTACTTCTGTGAGGATTGGTATCGCTAATGTATCTTGCATTTGGCCGAGACAATATGCTAGTTCGTGTTTTAGTAATGCAGAGTCGTCTTTAAAACAGTTATGAATTTGCTCGATGGCTTTGGAACCTCCCACATTTTTTAGAGTAAATAATGCACGGAATCTTTCCTTCAACGGCCGATTTTTGTCGTTCAAAACGCGACCTGTTGCTGTTATTTGATTATCACTCACTTCTAACATTTCTGTTTCAATTTGTAATCGTGGATATTTACTTTAAACAGGATGTCTAGCAACATTAATAATTTGTTGATACCATATTATTGACATGTGGACACTGTATCACATGACTAATCTAACCTAAAAAACGTGGATACTGTCATAAAGTGTGTACAGCAGACTTCAAAAACAGAAGACAGAATGGACTGGAAATTGGAATGGACTGTACATTTATAACTTTCCTGTTTTCTTCACAGTTGGCAGCACTGACGCTAATCTATTTCATAATCAACTTGACCATTGTAAACAGAGATTTAAGAAAATAGCATTTAATATTCAATTTTTATTGTTGTGAGTTGTAAATTATGGCGCACAGTAGAGCGGAAAAGATTGGTACAGTCTTCTCAAGGTATAGTTTATATTTGATTTACCAATTATTGTCAGTTTAGTAGAGAAGAGGTTATACATAGCTCTATAGGTATTATAACTAACAATGTAATACATTACCTTATTAATTTAAATGTACATGCATATATATATAATTTAATTATACACAATTTCAGAATGACAGCGCTGGTAAAAGGTGGAGCCATAATAGAGAGCAATATACCAATATGGTATAATATTTACAAAGCTTTCCCTCCAAAGTACGAGCCTTTGTATAGCAGACCTGCATCCAAAAAGCCAATCAGAGATATCTTTTATGAGGAAGATATTTTTAGAGCGTAAGCCAAAAACTATATTTACAGAAATAATTCACAAACATCTTTGTAGACATAATATTATTTTATAGGAAATTTCACAAGGATGTAAGATTTCTACAGCCAGTAAATTTAAAATCCAAAAAACATTCTGAGACTCAATTTGCCCTAAACACTTATTCCGAATACTTAAAGGTAATCTGTGATAAAATATATTAATGTGACATTTGTGACATATTAATGTGACATGTCACATTTAATGCATTGATTAATTACAGGAGGGGTTCTCGGAGACAGAAGCATATGAAAAAATAATAAATTTACATTATCATGACAAAATACGAAGCTCTAAACCATGAACTAAGGACTTTCAATAACAGTAAAGTTGAAACTAAGACTTAAAGAATTATATTATTACTAAAAAAAATTCATATAATATATTACTGTTATATAATATACTATCCACATTACATCTTTTATCATCCTATGATCTTTTGTTTCATGTTAAATATTTTGGAAAAGTCATAAATATCTCTAATTTTACAAATAAAAATTGTGTCATTTATCTTGAGTAATAATCCAAATAGTTTAACATTTTTATTGTAATATACAGGGTGGGTGACAAATCATGGTACAACCAGCCAGAGGTACAACAAACTGTTTTTTTCGACTTATTTCTCCATGCAGATTCATTCAGTCCTTGATTGTACGACGATTTTTCATTCACCCTGCGTAGTAGGTATGGTGAATTGTAGAGCTTATAATCTTTGTTTATTATATCGTGTTATCTTTAAGTATCATAACCTTTGAGGGATCATTTTATGTTCACGCGCTAAACTAGTCACTGTCGTTCGGTCATTTCGACTTTCAGTATTGGACTCTGTTACGAATTATCGTTCTTTAGTACAAAATGTCTACGAAAAAAATGTTTACGTTGGTGTTTGTAAGGAAAATTACAGAGATTTTGTTGGGTTGGAAAAAACGAGGATTTGGAATAAATAAATGGAATGGTTTTGGTGGAAAAGTAGAATCTGGAGAAACAATTCTTCAGGGAGCCATTCGGTAAATTGTTTTAAACGATCGTAGTGTTCTTAATAGAAATATCTTTTTAAAACAAATTGAAAACGTTATGTTCAACAACGATTTATTCATAAATATCACATTAACAATAAATTTCAACAAAATCGTTTGCTATATTTGTACAACAATGATTTACGAAAATTATATATTAAAGCATTAAATTAGATTCTTAATTATATTTTTTAATCATTAATTGATTAGAGTTTTTCGAAATTTTTAATTACAATCAAGCGTGTATACGTGAGTTTTTAAATCTATCAATCAATTAATTATTCCATAAATTTATTGCAAAATTTGAGTTGTAAAACATTTTATATTTGTAACGTGCAGGTACAGACTTAAAGAATAAAATAAGTTAATAAAGATAAATTAAAATTGTTCCATTAAATGAGAATAAAAATAAAGTAGTAACAGTAATTTTACAAATTTTTTTTCATCATTTTCCAGTGAATTGAAAGAAGAATGCGGTTTAAATGCAGAAGACTTGAGAAAGATTGCTATTATAGTATTTCAGTTTGAAGGAGATGAGACTCTGCATGAAGTTCATGTCTATGAATCATTCAAGTACCATGGAGAAGTAACAGAATCTGAAGGTATTTAATCTCTACATACAAACTCATAATTGAATGAAATTTTACATTGTTCATTTATTCTATATTATTTCTTGCGACAATGATTAATTACACTATGTAACACCAATCTGTTTTAGAAATTAAATTTCTCAAAAACTAAATTGCCTACAAAATGCAAAACTGGTGTTGCACAGTGCAATTAAAATAAATAAAGGGGAACATTCGTAACAAAATAAAATCTTAACACCTAATCTTTTGCTAAAAGAATCATTTGTGTACTTAGATTTCTAATAGATATATTTCTAATTATATATAAATATTTCTTTTTGTTCAGAAATGCTACCAAAATGGTACAATATAAAAGATATTCCATTTAAACAAATGTGGCCGGATGATGAATATTGGTTTCCTTATATGTTACGAGGAGAATTGTTTAAGGGATATTTTCTCTATCGAGGTGAAGACATAATTAAATATAAGATTGAAACCATGGAAGAACTACCAGTTAATAATATCCCTTAATTACATTTCTAAGCATTCATATTATTCGCACATATTAAAAAAAAAGCATTTTCACGTTTTTCTGCCATAAAATTCTATATACTAACAAATTTGTTCATGGTACATCCTATCCAGACTGATTTTGTATTCAAAAGAGTTTAAAGGGCTCATTGTACAAATATATTACAGATTCCCTACACTAGTTGCACATTTAATTCATGTTACACTACTTTAAACATACAAAAGCTTTGCCGTTACGTCAGAGATCATCGAATAAATGTTCAAACATACTGCGAGACTAATAAATTAATTTTCTATTCGCTGTTACCTTGCCAACTTAAATATTTACAAAAACTGTATCCTATCGTATCACAAACGATAAAAATATCCTGCTTATCCTATCTCCAGTATCTAAACGATAATTCGCAGAAAATATTTCGGTCAAGCACCATACAGCTCGGACAGATACAAATTTTCATGTTTAGTGCGAGAGATCTTAGATTATAGACTAAAGTATGTCATGGACGTATAGAATTGTGAATTAGTTGTATCACCGTTGTTCTTTGCACCTTTATGCAGCCGACCAGTGCTCAGACCTCCACAATAAAGCATACATGCTGTGTCTGAGGTCTTCTGCATCTAATGAGTCAATCGGATAGTCAGTATACCTTGAAATTAAGCTTCTATAACCCTGGCCAACAGTTGCCAATACCAATTTCTTTTCATCTGATGATTTAAAAGAGATTATCTGACAGACCTTGCCTTCAAATGGTCTGAAGACAGTGATTGGTCTTAGAGAATTACATTCTGCTACCACAATGCAACCCCAAGTTGTACCAATGTACAATTGACTCCGACAAGTTTCAAATGTTGTGACTTGACATTTTTCTGTAGATAGATTTTCCTCTATAGAAATAGACTTGAGACTCTCTGAGCAAGGTACTAGTTTTGACATGTCTAACTTATTTATTATCTGCCTGGTGTCTACATCCCATTGATAAACAATGCATCCAGGATATGTGTATGATAGAATACAGTTTTCAGCACTCAATAAATATGTTGCAAAAAGATTCTTGGTAGCTGCCTCTCCAGTGACGTGATAAACTTGGAACGTGTCTATCAGACTATTATCTTTCAGTACATAGATTGAAATTTTGCCGAAGCTCTGTCCAACCCATAATTCTAGTATCCGTTTCTTCCTATAAACAGCTGCCAGAGAATAAGTCTTAATATTGTCCTGTGTCTCAGTCACAACCTCCATCTTCTTCATCTGTGTGAAAGAGTTAGTTAACAGAAATATCCTGCCGCTGTGTAGAGCCACTACAAATTGCTTCATCTGCTCCAAGTATATTAAACCAATCACTTTCGACTCTCTGCTATGATCTGGCTCCAGATTATAGCTGGCGACGCAACCAAAATTACTGCCGAGATAGACGTGCACTTGGCCTGCGTTGTCGCCAATCCAGATGTACCCATCCACACCACACATTGCATAAGGTATCACAGGAGTCTCAATTCTAACATGCTGCAACCAGCCTTTCTGGGTTCCTAGTAACATATCCACTTCGCCATTGTTGTGCCCAAACCAGATTTCGTCTCCATTTATATTTTCTTCTATAGTTCTATTTGTCATAGTGATAGCTGTCACTTGGGTCCTTTCAGTTAACATTATAACATCTATTAAATGTGTAAATTCTGGTGCAGAAGCAATGGAGACTATCTGACTAGCTGTAGGTCTGTCTTTAGGGTTTTGTGCCCAACATATCACCATTAAATCCAAAGCATAGCAGGGATGGAAAGTCTCCCTGTAAGTTAATGGTGGCCTGCCGCCCTCTAAAATGCATTCTTTGACTGCCTCATGACCTTCAAACGGTTGTCTCAGGGTGATCAATTCATATATGAACATCCCAAATGAAAAAGAGTCAACTTTTTCAGTGTACTCTTCTTCGCCATTGTATTTGATGATTTCTGGTGCCATGAATCCCTCTGTTCCACCAAACCCCTTTGCACCAGTGGGCAATGTCAGCCTGGAGATGCCATAATCTGCTACTTTGACATGGACAGGATGCTCTGGATGGTCTTGAAAAGGCAAAGGCATCTGCCAGACCAAAACATTTTCTGATTTTAAGTCTCTATAAATCACATGTTGTTGGTGAAGATATTCCACAGCCTTTGCAACCTGCAGAATTATAGTTTGCAAAGTGTATGGATCCAATTTAGCACCTGAACGTCTGTAGTTTTTTAATACATTGTCCAATGCACCCTCTGGTGCTAGATCTAGCACTAATGCAAGAGGACTAACGACTATACCAATTAGGGGAACAATGTTAGTGTGTCTAAGTGTTAACAGAATATTTAGCTCTTGTCTAGCAGTGCAATAAGCCTTGCAAGCATACTGCAGAGGGTCTCTATCCCACTTGCTCTGCGCAGCCTTATAAGCCAGCACTGCCGACTGTTTTGAATTTGGACCTGGTGGGACTGGTTGCAGCATCTTGATAGCAACATCAGTCTTTTGGTAGGTGCCTGGTAGGCGACAGACTCCCTTGAAAACAAAGCCAAACGCTCCACGACCCAGAAGCTTTCCTAATTTGATGTCTTCCGATTTGATCAGGTGTTTCATTCCTAGATCCATAAAAATAATGTCTGGAGCTACATGTGACAGAGGTATATCTGAGTGTTTAGGACAACTGATGGGTTTATTACTATAGGCAGACAGTATGCATTCTTCTACCATCCAGGAGTAAGCTAAACTACCCTCAAAATGGGAATTTTGTTTAGAAATATCAGGATGACCTTCAAGAGATGGCATTCTACTAGATGTGAGGCTGTCATAACCCACTCCGCTATCTCCGTCCGACTTGTAACTATCTTGACTCTGTCTTTCCTTGTTTACATAGTATTTTTGAATATCCTCTGCTAACCGATCGTGATCACTAATGTCATTTTCATTCTCCCCGTTGTTTAATAAACATCTGGGGCAAGGAATCAGACGAGTGACTAACAGTTTGCCCTCGGAAGTATGTACGAAACGCGTCCCTAGTGTAGGGTACCAATCTTCTAACAAAATATCAATATGGTCGACTATCAGAGCTAATAGTTGCGGCATGCTTTCAGGGCGAGGCTCGACAACAATCGCCTGATATCCCATTGGTTCCTCATCGGCTGAGTCAGACATTATAGGTTGCTTAATCACCAGAGTATCGACTGGGAACCAAATCTCTAAGATGGCCGAATTTTTTAAGTCCACTGTGCACCAAATCCCATCCTGCTTTAATTTGAACTTAAATTGTCTATAGTCATATGGGACATTTTTTAAATTATAATTGACTTCTTTGAGACGTAGCAGAGTGATGTTAGCATATCTCAGTTCAATCCCTGTTTGCCAAAGCACCCACTCAGCCTGAGTATCTAGCAAACTTATAAAAATATTATCATCGACAAAATCTTTGAATGGCGCCAAAAAAGACATCACTATCTCGACTATAGCATCATCAGCTAATATTCTGGTTATAAGTCTTGACCAAAAGCCACTAGGAAAGTAAGACATAAGTAATAACCTTGTAACAGAACAATCTGGTTGTGACCTTGATGTTAACACACATTCTGTACTCTGTTTATCAGAAGAGTTCTGGAAAGTAATTATAGGAGATGTAATCTTTTTAGATCTCACATGCCATCCTCTTGTCTTCACAGGGATCTTGATCAGCTGGTTGTTCCTCAAAATGTCCTCCTCAGTTGGAAGCAGAGAGGGAATCAGTAGAGTACGATAATCCCAAGTTAGAGCCACTTCAAACTTATTTAACAGACTCACGATGTAGCCTTGAGTATCTATGGAGGATATCGTAGAGGATTTGAATACATGTTGTATGTCGTCCAGTTTCATAATCCCGGATCTAGCGAAAGGATTGATCTCACGAATGGTCACCACGTGCGCCAACATGTCGCAAAGCCACTGAGGGTCTAGAAAATACAAATCTTTTAGCGTAGCATCGTCATAATGCAGAATAATGCCGTTCTCATGCAGGAACAACGTAGCCTGATGTAATTCTGCAGGGTCTCTGAAAGACCGATGCAGCTTCTGCAGTTCATTGTTTACTGCAGTATAGTATTGGTCTGCTTTCAGTACTGGATCTCCTCCAGACAGCTTTCTGTCGTGAGCTAATTGAATCACAACGTCCTCCAGGGCAAGGTAACTGGAAGGAACCTTCTGTTCGAGCAGAAGCTCTTTGCTGCCGGGTGACCTCAGGCTAAAAACAACATCGTAGATGAGGTTGCAGAGCATCTTGATGTTATGTCTGGTCTTGCAGCTGACTTCTATGGTCTCCATGACTTTCGGCAGGCCACACTTCTCAGCGTCGACTACATTTATGAATTTGTCACGAATGTACTGTTGTAATGCTTCGCTGTGCTCGTTAGATATATCATAGTGGGTGCCAATGATAATCACTGGGGAGTTTGGAGCTCTACTTTGTATGTTTACTAGCCATTGGAAGATCTCTGATACGCCCTTAAAGCCGTCCGTAATTCTCCAGACGACCAGATACAAGCTACGCTTGGATAAGAAGTACTGATGAGTCGCATAGTACTCCTTTTGCCCTCCAAAGTCCCAGGTTCTAAAATAGACTGGACCGTGAGATGACTGACCTCTAACTTTCTTTTCATAGATCCAGTCCCCAATGTCTACACCAACTGTGGATATTATAGTCCCTCTGGCAGTTTTTGCATTGATGTTCTTGTTACCCATTCTCTTTGCCCAATGCTCAGAGGCTTTCTTCTTGTTTGGAACCTCACCCTCCTGCCTCAGTTGCTCCAATAAACTCGTCTTTCCAATTCCCTGTATGCCTACAATCATCAGTTTCATTCGAGCATAGGGTTTAGCGTCCTCCAAGATCGATTTTAAATATCCGATAACATCCATCGTCTTATACTTCTTCGACTCGATCATAGTCTTCAGAGGCTCCTGCAGTCTGCAACCCTGTGTATTTAGGTTCCACAAACGAGACAGTAATCCCATCTGCGGAGGCAGTTCAACAATATCAGGATTGCCACTTATATTCAATACTGATAGATTATTGAGCTCGTAAATGTTCTGAGGTATTTCTTTCAATTTATTATTGCTGACATCCAACATGCTGACATTGGGGAACAGTAAATACTGCTTTGATCCAGAGTAAGTCGTCTTCAGGTCTTTCTCAATATTTTCCTCTTCCAAAGCTGGCATCTCTCCATCATCAATAGAAGTCAATTGAATCCTACTTAGTAGATTGTTGGCCATTATCAATGTCCTCAGGTTCTCCAGCCTGAGATGTCGTCTGTGAGTGCATACTGACATTAGAACCACGTCTCTCAGAGACGTGGCTGTCTGTCTATTGCTGCCTGGAACAATTGGCGACTGGACATTGGTAGTGGGACAGTAGCAAGCAGTGTTAGCTTGCTCCATTAGGTCACCTGTGTCCACTTGTGGCAAGCTGGGCCACCTAGAGATCTGATTATTAGACAGGTCTAATTGTTTTAGACTCGCAGGATAAGACGTTATGTGGCTCATGGACCTCAGAGAATTATAAGCCATGTTTAGCCTCACTAAATTAACAGCTAGACAAGGCAATGCTACTGGGATGCTGTTGAATAAGTTGTGTGCCAGATTTAAAGATGTTAGAACAGATCTAGCTCCATTTTCATTGTCATCTGCGATCTTTTCTGAAACCTGAACTGACCTAGTCCACACATGAGGACGGCTCATCTCGATGATCTGAGCATTTGCTATCTTGGTGAAGGACTCAAACTCCAGAGAGTCTTCTCGAGCTATGCCTAATTGCGACGCTATACTGGGGCTGTGATTTAAAACGTCTTCTCGCTGAGATTTGCGTTGAATGTTTTGTGATACCTGACTGGGCAGGTCTTTAAGTAAATTGAAGGACGCGTTGAGCTCTTTCAGCTTCGGTGCTCGCCACAGATTGTCTGGGAGACATTGTAGTTTATTGTTTGAGACGTCCATGACTTCCAGGACGGGTAGATTCATGATAAACTCAGGCAGCTGCTCTAATCTGTTATCCTGGAGGTATATCTCCTCCAAAACGGGACACAGTTTGTCTTTCTGGCTCCTCGGATCAGCAGTTAGAGTGTCTATCTTGTTCTGAGCCATGTTGAGATACCGTAGACTCTGCAGGTAAAATAGAGTAGAAGGTACAGAAGTTATAGAATTACGAGAGATGTCGATTCTTGTGATAGCATAGAGGACCAAATCATTGTTCTTTGCATTCAGTTTCTTGTTCACATGCAGCACAGCGTCCACCAACCACTGAGATCTTATCTGGGAGAGATGGCACTGCTGATTGTGCCAATTTATCATTGTCGGCGTGTTTGGAAATAATGTTGAGTATGTAACATTTCCAAAAGAAGGCAATGCTGAGAAATGGGACGTTTGAGTGCACTCGGTCATTGCTTTTTTGTTAATTTTGTACTCAGAGTCTGGATAAGCTTTTATTGATAGTAGTTTCGCTGTTAACGGCTCGTCCCGGTTTTGTGCGGCGATTTTTATAGCTTTGCACGTGTTGTCAACAGCACCATGCTTCAATAACAGTTCGGCTATCTTTATGTCCCGTTGCTGACAAGCTATAACCAAAGCGCTAGAGAAATTGCTTTCCGGGTCGCTCTGATCGTAAGGAACTTTTAATGGTAAATTAGGATCAGCTCCTGCCATTAGCAAAGCTGCCACTACATCTGTATGCTTGCCTTTAACAGCTGCGTGCAAAGCAGTCTCGTTGCCATTATTACAATACAAATCCAAATACAGGGGACACATCATGTTATCATCTTTCTTATCAAACGCTTTACTCCTGAAGTTCAGGCTGGACATTAATCTCTGAATTCCACTGGAAATCTTTCTTTTCGACATTGGCAATGGTTGACTCACTCCCATATCCTCCTCCTTAATCTTTCTCGCTTTTACCTTGTAATTTAGTAACAGTTCTACGATCTTAATATTTCCAAGCATACTGGATATGTAAAGTACGTTTTGCCCAGTGACGTCTTGAGTATTTATATCAAATGGCATCTCATACTCAAATTCACCCGATGAGTCTTTATAGCCTTGGTACATGAACTGTGGATATTCAAACTTCAATAATAAATCAATAACCAGGTAGTGACCGTTTATAGCTGCTGCATGAATTGGTAGCCATCTTTCCACTGTTAAAGATTGCACCTGCCTAGGAAAATGCCTGAGAAGGAGATCAACAATCTCTACCTTGCCGTTGTAACAGGCAATGTACAGAGGACAATACTTGGTCACAGAGTGTGTTCTACAATCTGCACCATTGTCTAGAAGCAATCGTACTATGTCCCTGTGACCCATTTCACAAGCTGTGAATAACAACGTGTTCGCACCATTGGGTGTCATGTTAATAATAAACTCAATATCAGAAGTAAGGCCCTGGATAATGTTCCTAGCTGCTATGATATCTCCCTGGATGCAAGTCGCGCGCAGAGAAGCATGCGTTGCCAGTTTTGCCAACTCATACTTCTCTGCTGCTGAGATTAGCAGATTCTTGCAAGCTTCCTGATTGTTTTTCTCGACTATGTCTATTGGTTTCTCACCATTATTGTCAGTGATCATCAAGTCTGCATTGAACTCCAGCAGCTTCTCAATATTGGAACTGTGACCATGTTCTGCACAGATGTGCAATGGTGTACGGAAATGACCTCTGGGGCCACAGGGGATGTTCGGATTAGCACCAGCTGATAATAAGACATCCAAGCATCTTGAGGTTTCTGTGATCGCAGCCGCATGCAATGGTGTTCTACCCCATGAGTCCTGGCTGTTTATATACTGTGCATGTTCACCTCGTAGAAGGTCTTCTAGGAGTTCTGCATTGTCCCAAAGAGCAGCTTGATGCAATAACCGACCTGGGAAGTCTTCATCGATAGGAGTATAGTCTTCCATGATGAAATCTGAAAAGGTTTTTTCATAGAATTACAAGCTAGTCACCGAACTATATTATTATGTGACAACAATGTTAAATTAAAAAAAAAGTATAATTGTACTTACAAAAACTATGTTCATAAATTGTTACAGTTTTCTATTACATATGTGCTTAGCTGATGCATTTTTCTTTTATTGTATTTGGCATATCTTTTTCTTTGAAATTGATAAATATTAAGCACTTCATTGCGAATTTTGTGATTATTTATAAGTTAAAATATTTCCACTAAGACTAAAGTGGAAACTCAGTATTTGAAATTGTTTATAAACACTTGAGAAATTTCAATTGTTTGTCACATTTTCCATCTAGTTCTTATTTTATTTCGAAGTAGGAATTATTTTTATAATAATAAAAATATCGTCAGTTTTTTATTGTTATTAATGCCATATTTGGTTCGCTAAATTAAATTTGCACATATGAAACTTTGTGTATACCTAAAAAGGTAAAGATAAATAGTTGTCATAAAGATCAGGTGGTACGTTTTGCAACTCACTATAGTTGTCAAACATTCTCCATATTTTTTTTCACTATTTTTCTTGCATTGACAGAATAGCGGTCACTGTCAACTGAAATGGTTAGCGTGAAACTTGAGAACAACACTAAACACACTCAGTGATCGCCATTTTGTTGCACCTCTTTATCGACTGTACACACCTTTAAATGCAATCCTATGCATCAGTGACATCGGATCGATTAAAATAAATAGTATCTGATATTACATAACATCATTATTAGATCGCAAGTCTTTATAACAATTCTCATGTTATTAACAAGAAAATACTTCATTTAATTTTGCTTATAATTTTCCGCATCGAGAAATAATGTAAAATGTAAAATATAAAAAATATAAAATATTAGGGAACATAATACATAACTACATAGAAAATATAATGTACAAAATACGGAAAACATTAAACATAAATTATGTATAGAATGATTCAGAGAAACTCTTACACCGGGTATATAAAAATGGATTTCTTTTAATTAGAAAATTAGAAAATTTGTACACAATACATATTGATCAAAATTCTACTGGCAGCCTTCAAGGCTTAGCGCTCTCGCCAAATTTCTAGCAACAGCCAGCCTAAAAATTTCAATTTCTTCTTGAAACTTGGGGTCATCACCATGAGCTTCAACACAGCGTAATAATTCGTAACAATCATTGGAAGAAATGATCACATCTTTGGCTTCCAACAATGGAATAGCATCAGATAAAAGAATCGACCAGAAGCTGAAATAAAAGTTCCTTAGTCAGTTTCCTCTCAATTAATATCAGGCCTATGTCAATCTTTATTAGACTTACTATTTTGGAGTTAAATTTGATACTAAAAGGGACACTAATAAGCTAGCTGCTTCTTTAAATTCTCCGATACTGTACATTTGATGAAATTCGCAGTATTTTCCTAGCAGAAAAAATATAATTAAAATTGATTTATTCAAAAGTTAAAATAATTTTCTATATAACGTTTGAAAATTGATTTTTTCTTTACCTAAAAATGTGAGTCTATCGCTGGCCATCATACAAAACCCTAAATTCTCCAAAAGATCACGACACTCGAGTCTTCCAGTTTCTGCATAATGTTTCAAGAATTGATCAGCTATATAAGTTACAAAACCACTGTCCTGCCCTTTCAATGCCCACGCAAGTGCATTCCCAAGTCTGTCGTGTTTTATGCACTTTATAGACTGGATTTTACATATACTAGCCACTGAAAAAACACAAATAATCACTATATTGAAATAATATTTTATTAATTAAAATTACCAACCAATATGGTCCATTCTATTATCACGAGCTATGTCTATAATTTTATTTATTCTCGCTTCTGATCCCATTGGTAGTGATTGTATCAATAGTTCCAGTCTTGCCAGACCTTCCTTAGGGCAGTGCATTAAATAACTTGCACCACATTGCCAAAGAGAATGATGTTCCATCAATGCATTGCCATATTCTAATATTAAAGATTCATGGAGTTGGCTTGTGACCCTTGAACAGAAAATAATTTTCCGGATAAAGTTTACAATGTTCGCGAAGATAATTAATCATTATAATCCCTTACTCGATTTGATCTTTGTCTAAAACTTTAAGCCTGCCACAAGTGTAGAGTAAATCCACTAAATGAGTAGCAAACCATCCATTATCCCCCATATACTGTATTTCCTTAATAACTTGGTGCAGATCGCTTTCCATCAAAGCACGTATAGCATTATCTGATGGTCTATTAGCTTGCCATCTCTTAACAATATTGTTTGCATGATACGAAAGCTCAGGCTGCTTGCAGCATGGAGATGAATAAAATAATTTTGCTGCTAACAGTTCATACCAAGCGTCCGTATATGTTGTTAATTGCCACAGGACTTCCTGTTCTCCTGCAATTAACTAAATTAAATGTTTTTTAAAGAATCTGAAATAACTGATATCAACTGATTATATTTATATATAACGATATTATGAGTACCTTCATGATCGTTTCCAAATCCTCGTCAACAATGAAATCTTTGCTAGTCAAATGTGATCCTAATTCTAATTGCCAGTGCTTCCAACGCATTTTGAACTCGTTTACTGAATAACCACCATATACGTTGTACACAGGCATTGTTTTAAGCATACTGTCTGCAATAACAAAGGCAGGGAGATCTGCTTTACTGTGCAATGCTAGAAGAGCTCGCACTGAATCCAATTTCCCATGTAATGTGCAACGTATGACCGTTTCCCAATAATTAGCATATTTCAGGTCTGCTCCAATTGCTTTTTGAGACAGTATTTTATTTGCCATACGATCTGTAGATGGGAAGTGAAATTTGATCCACTCTAACAATTGTGGTAGAACTACATCTCCTAAATGAAAAAAGGCAATAAATTGTAGTTAATGTAATTAGTGTATAAATTTATTAAATAGTAAACAGATTACCTGGTACAATATCTATGTACAAAATTTCTGTTAAGTGCCAGACGCATTCAATTTGATAAAATATTGTAAGAAAATTCTCCAGAGATTCCCTTTTATCGGAAAATGATTTGCCGCATATATCTTGCAAGCTCTCAATGCAGGCTCTTAAAATAGATCTATATTGCTTGCTATGTTTCAGAAGCTCTGGTCTAATATCGCTAGAAGACACTTTAATTTTTCGGATAGATAAGAAGACACCATTGCTTTCATTTACCAGTTTGCGTAATTGTGGAGAAAATAAAATCACTTCTGGCTTTAATACATGTATGATTGGGCTATATTCGGTATGGTCTTTGTCGGCCGATGTTCTGGTGCTGTAAATGCTGACTTTATTGCTGTTCACCCAATTTGCTGAGAGTCGTTCGTTTTTGTGGATGTTTGGAATATCCTACAGATGAAAAATATTACTATTAACAAATCTCTGTGACTAAGTGCGAATTATGAATTTTTCTTACAAAATGACAATGGTGCGCTATACATTGATAAGAACTAATTTAAACACTATCATTTACTTATATATTTCAAACATTTTTAATTCAAGAAATAAACAAATTCATGTAGCATTAGGATAAAGTTGACGAGGTTAAGTTTTATAGGTTATGTACACATTTAAAGGTAAAAAAATTATAATACTTACGATGGTTGGAACATTTTCCACTCCTGCCATATTTTTTAATAAAAATCCTTGATTCCGAAGTATTTGTTAATTTATATTAATTACATGAATTTTACATTCGCATGAAATTTGTCCCTGCTTTTGCCACAAATTTAAAGTTCGATTGTAACTATCGATACGAACATACTGACATGTTCGATTCGATTACAACTGATATAAATATCGATATTACATATTATATTTTTTTGCATTGTTGTCATTTGGTTTTGTTACACGAAATCGATACAGTAGATTTTTCTGAACAATTTCGTACTCTTGGTTTAGTTTTTTATGCCCTAATTTTGCCATAATTAATGTTTTCAGGCGACCTTGCTCTCTAAATTTGTGTGCGATTGTGGCGCCTCTTTTGGCGAAACCACGAAGCTTTGTTTGATATCCGTACAGCACCAATCGATGCAGTGGCAAAACGCTCAAACTGGTAGCCAAAATTACCAACGGTCGCTTTTGGCGAACAGTTTGAGCGTTTTGCCACTGGACGAATTGGCGCTGTACGGACATCGTTCGCAGCTTCATTGTTCCTCCGATAGAGGCGCCACCGTCGCTCATATATATGGACAATGCATGGTCGACTAAAAACATTAATTGTAGCAAAATTAAGGCATAAAAAACGAAACGAAGTACATCGAAGTGTTCAGGAGAATCTACTGTATCGATATCGTATAAAAAAACAAATAATAGTACCGCGAAACGTAAGCAATTGCTCTTTGAAGTTTGGTTAACTATTACGTTAACTAATTTTTTTTATTATGCGTTGTTGCCGTTTGGTTTCCTTACATGATATTTACAATTACTCACCTATAGATAAAATTGCGTATTTCTTTATCAATGACTTATAAACTTAGATGCCTAAAGTTGTATTTTATTTGAAAAAAATGAGAAAATGGCGGCACTGCATCCCCATGTCCCGCGCATGTCTCATACCCTGCATCCCCATGTCGTAAACTTTAAGCTCCGTTCTTTAGGTCCATGGTATTTTGACGATACACGTATCGATATTTATATTCGATTGTTTCAACTATGAACACATGTATCGATAGTTCATGAATTACTATTCGATGTACCGTGATTTGAATTCGATTCGATATCTCGATATTTTGAAATTCCTCTATCAATATCTAGAAAAGAATATCGTTTCTGTGAATATCGATGACAAAAATTACGTAAAATTCGACAGAAGAATCTTCTTATATCATCGAATGATTTTAGTTAATTGTTGAAGTAAACGTAACTGTTTCTAGATCACACAGGAGCGTAACAAACGCGGAACTATCGACGATGCAGTGCTTACCACCGAGCCGTAAACTCAACAAGATAATACATACATATATACATATACTTCATCCACGATGGTGGGAGTTATAACACCCAAGGGATGAACATGGTTTATGGGTGCTTTCATGCGGGGGTGTTTATTGTAAGTATTTGTTACGCGAAGAGATTACAAATTCACATTTCATAAAATGTATAATCCACAATTAATCCAGAAATTTATGACAATACACTGTTCTCATTACAACATTATAATACAGTGCTTTCGCCAAAAGCGAATTTTATTATTAATTTATTCTAGAGTACTAGAAGGAAATGCTATCTAATCTACGTCGCCTTTAAAACTGGATGCTATTAATTAATTTTCACACTAAAACGAAATATTACAGATTCGTTCGAATGCTAAAAAGAAACGTTATCGAAAATCTACTACGATATTATCGCACGAATGCCAGCAACGTGAATAATTAATTAATCTCAATATCGTTATATTACAATATTCCAACGTATTTATATTACAATATTACAATATATATTATAATATTACAATATATATTACAATATTACAATAAATATTACAATATTACAATAAATATTACAATATTACAATATATATTACAATATTACAATATATATTACAATATTACAATATTACAATATATATTACAATATTACAATATATATTACAATATCACAATATATATTACAATATCACAATATATATTACAATATTACAATATATATTACAATATTACAATATATATTACAATATTACAATATTACAATATATATTACAATATTACAATATATATTACAATATTCCACCAAATCAATTACATTCGCCGACAAAGCAGACGATTATATGCATAATCTCGGATCGTTCCCAACAGCTCTGAACAATTAATCAAAGCAATTACCACCGTCGAAATCGCATCATCGCCAACACGTTCGTCGATCGTGCCAGAACACGTCCTTCCAAAAGCGAAAGAGAAATTCGCCGCGGCCACGGCCCCGTTCCGTCGAATCCTTTGCGCCGTGGTCCCTTCCTGCCGCAACCATAACAGCTCGCAGGTACGTCGGTCGGCCCTAAGGCTTCGCAGAACGGGGGAGTGTGCTCGCGAATGGCCGGAGTTTGCGCAGATTCGCGGGCAAGGCGCGTCCTGGCTGCGCTGGAGCCGAAGCTTTTACTCGTCGACGAGCTTCCGTGCAAGGAGTGTCTTCGCCGATCCCCTAAACAAGTTAGCTTAAACTATAGTTATAGCCGAAGTGTCCGCAACTGGCTCGCCGAGAGTTCGAACGAGAACGTACGAACGAACGATCAAAGAAAGAGGGAGAGCCACACGATAGATAAAAGACCGTGATCGCACGTTAATCCGGAGAAGTGTCGCCCGATTAAAAATGTAAGTGTGACCGCGGACCAGTTCCGGATCGAGGGGTCAAAGGATCGACGTAGATCGCCGGAGGCTCCATGGCGTGAGCGCTGACACACCGTTACACCCCTTCGTCAACCGTCTGAAGCTCGAGCGAAACCTGTCAGGTACGTCTCCGCCGGACCCTGCTGCGTCCCTTCAGTTTCTCCTTGCAGATTTCACCCACCCCTGGAATCGGAGAGGCGAGATTAGACGCACGGAGGGCTAGACCTTTTTTTAGGAGAGGGTCGTTCGGGGTTTCGGGGGAATACTGCTCGAATATTGCTTAAGCCGTGTGCGATCGCGGAACGGTTCTACCTCGGCACGGTTCTTCCATCGGTTTCCCTCGGACAGGGTGGCTCTATCGAGGGTGGGCTCGGGTTACCTGTGGATCGTTCGGCAAACCTGGGACGTCGGTCCGTTCCTTTTTTTTCTTTTTTTTTTCCTTTCTCTCTCTCTCTCTCTCTCTCTCTCTCGCTCTCTCTAGAGAGAGGTTCGCCGAGGGTTGTTCCGTGGTACGCGGCCCGCTGCGACGCAGTTGCGGCGATCAATCGTTTTCAGGCAGATTTATTTTGGTTCCCGGCCTTCGGGCCGGTTTGTTTGGGTTTTATGACCGAGGAGCATTTATTTATACCTGTCGCTACACCTGTGTGCGCCTCTCTCTCTCTCTCTTTCTCCGCGGGGAGACACGGTGTCGCGGCGGATGAATCGCCGTCGAGATTCCGCGATAGCGGCGAATTCGCCGGATTCGTTGGCTCGAGCGCCGGGAGAATTATCGTCGAGTTTTACTTTGAATTGTCGGGTGTCATCCGCGCGACGCCGCGGCGACCATCTTAGAACAATTTCTTGTATGCCAAACAATCGGCCTCCGGCGCGGTTTGAAAGCCGACGAGATGGCTGATATAGATAGTTCACGAGGAAGTGTGTATTGTAATTTTTCCCTGATTCGCGCGGTCAGATTGCGAAAGTGGACAATTTGGGGAGAGGGGACGCGATTATTTTTGGGCCTTGTGGCTCGTTTTTATGGTTGTTGACGATTGCTGTGAAAACGAGCCTCGAGGCTCCAATAATAGCATATATATAATACAAATAATAGTACAATAATAATAATGGCACATATAATAAAACAGTATATACATAATAAAAATAATAATTGTATATATAATAATAATATAATAATATAATATAATATAATAATAATATAATAATAATATAATAATAATATAATAATAATATAAATAATATAATAATAATAATAGTACATACAATAAAATAGTATATACGTATAATAAAAATAATATTAGTATACATAATAATATATATATATGAAAAATAATAATAGAACACACAATAATGTATATAACTCGAATAATAGTATATATAATAGTACATATAATAATAGAGCATCTCGTTTGTCCAAATTGTCGACTTTTAAGCGCAATTAGGGACAAATTAGGGATAAATAATCGTGGCTCGCGATTTATTCGGGCCGTCCGCGGTACGGCGACCCGAAGGCTCGTAGCAGGCCCGGTTGGTTCTCGGATAGAGGAGAGAGAGAGAGAGACTATAAGTAGCATAGTTCGCTGATACGTTGGAACCGGTTGTAGCTGTTCTATTTACCGAAAAGGATAGGCTCCGTGAAATATAAATAGAGAGAGAGAGAAAGAGAGAGAGGGAGAGAGAGAGAGAGAGAGCTCGGCTAGGACATAATTTGTCGCGCGGTTGGAACCCGTGCACGTAGTCTAGATTTTGCGCGAACTTTCAACAGACACACCGATGCCACTTTCATTGTTGCTTCCGCCCTTGTTCGCGGCGGAGGTCAGACTCCGTGGAGAAGCGTTATGGATCTGTCCGAACGGGTGGTGCATGGGTACGGTGTTCGTAGACGATCCGGTCGGGCCGATTGGGCCCGAGACGGAAGACTTTAGAGAGACGTCGAGACTTAGAGACGTAGCCTTTTAGGTTCTGTGCAATTTTTCAGACCGGTAGTTTCGACGACACAGTGTGCGTGCGTGTGTGTGCATCTTGGAGAGTAGCGAATATCGTGGACGACGATTTTTAATTTAGCCGATGCATTCTCCTTAATCGACGCTCAAATTGCGAACGAAAATGGATAATTTCGGAAGAGCCTCGCGCCTTGTTTTTATAATCGTCGACAATCGGAGGGTGTGAAAATGAACCGCGAGGCTTCGAACGATCGTGTCTCCTTTTTCGAAATCGTGCATTTTTGTTTAAAAGCTGAGGGAAGATCGGGGGGAATTTATTGTACGCGGTTAAATTGGAAGCGTTATTAGTGGACTGCGGATTTGACGCGTTTATGGTAGAAACGAGTAGATCGAGTGCGCAGCAGAGAATTTTATAATATAGAATTTATATTTATAGTTTTGTGGTTATTATATTTATATTTATAATTTTATAGTCATTATATTTATATTAATAGTTTTATCGTTATTATATTTATTATATTTATATTTATAGTTTTATACTCTCATTATATTTACATTTATAGTATTATACTCATTATATTTATATTTACAATTTTATAGATTTTTATGCTCATATTTATATTTACAATTTTATAATCACTACATTTATATTTATATTATTTATATTATATTCACAGCTATTCTATTTATATTCGTAGAATTTTAGAATATAATTCTATCGCAGTTAACTTTCGTTGGAAAACGATTAAGAAACGAAATGTATATCCGGTACAGCGTTTCTGTAATTTCTAACGAACAAAAACGATTTTTATTTTGCACGAAAATCCGCAGTCAGTTATTCGAGCCTAACTGGAAGCCTCTCTGATCGGCTACGTCGTGCACGGTATACGAACAGTACGTACTTGGCCACCCTATTTGCTCCGGAAAATGGACCCTGTAAAAGTATTAGAGACGATGGGTATCCTGCATAGCGAATGCCTCCTAGTTTAGTTTTAGGACTCGATCGATTCCGAAGATTGGACCTGTTCGTCAATACCCTATTTATCTTAAGACAGTGTACAGTGTCCGATGGTAATTGCTAATTTGCCTGATATACGCGGCGAGTAGAAAGCGTTGCTGGGACCTAAGCGAAAACTATTACGTACATAGTATAGCTGGATCGTGTTGGAACAGCGCTTTCGTTTGACACCTTAATGCTACTCCGTAGAAGTTTTGTTTGACCTGATCACGTCCGAGTAGTGTGTAGTTGGCATAAAGAAAGTAGGGTGAAAAATAATAGGTGTAACTAGTCTTAGATCGCGAGAATTTGATGACCGGTTTAGACCATTGTTTCGCGACCACGTTTGGCTCGAGCCCTTTCCAAGCTACAGTGAATTCTCCCTAATTATAGCTTGTGCGCAAAATTATGTAGTTAGTATAGTATATATATATATATAGTTGTTGACAATCGGCGACTATAAAAACGAGAGCCGTCCGCTACTTTCGTCGAAGTTTCAAATTTTCGAAAAAATTGTTGATATTCAAGCAGCTATAACTTTGCGCAAAAAAATCGTACAGCGATGGTACTTGGCTCATTTTAAAGCCCGAAATGTCTACTTTCGGAGGTTCTTTGTCGATTTCTTTAAAAAAATTTATTCGCGACACGGTGGACGGGAAACCTCGATCCAGACTTCACGCGAAATTTTCAACCCCCGAAACATCGATGGTATTCAAAACTCTGTAACTTCGCGAGTAAAAATCGTAGAACAAGGAAACTAAACTCGTTTTAAAGCTTGAAGTATCTATTTTCGGAGACTGTTTGTCGATTTCTTCAAAAAAATTTATTCGCGACACGGTGGACGGGAAATCTCGTCTCAGATTTTACACGAAATTTCTAACTCTCGAAACATCGACGATATTCGAAATACTGTAATTTCGTGCAAAAAAATCGTACAACGATGACACTTGGCTCATTTTAAAGCTTGAAGTGTCTACTTTCAGTTGCTTTTCGTTGATTTCTTTAAAAAAATTTATTCGCTACACGGTGGATGGGAAACCTCGATTCAGAATTTACGCAAAATTTTCAACCCCCGAAACATCGATGGTATTCAAAACTCTGTAACTTCGTGAATAAAAATCGTAGAACAAGAAAACTAAACTCGTTTTAAAGCTTGAGGTATCTACTTTCGAAGTCCGTTCGCCGATTTCTTTAAAAAAATTTATTCGCGACACGGTGGACGGAAAACCTCGTCTCAGATTTTACACTAAATTTCTAACTCTCGAAACATCGACGATATTCGAAATACTGTAACTTCGCGAATAAAAATCGTGGCACAACGAAACTAAACTCATTTCGAAGCCCGAAGTTTCTACTTTTTCCATATATAATTCGTCAAGTGACAATCGTAGAGAAATTCGCTGCACTTCTTTTCAACGTTCGCTGCAACAACGATTCCCTAGCATAGTTCCACGTATTCGCATCCGATCTTTAGATCTCGAGAAATCGAGTAGAAAATAGAGAAAATAAAATAGCTAGATTAACCGAAACTCCCTAGATCGCAGTGCTCGAATCTCGAGAAGCTTCATCGAAAATAGAAAGCTCGAAACAGCTAGGAACACTGAAATCCCCTAAATTCGATGCTCAAATCTCGAGCAGTCGTATTCAAAATAGAAAGACAGATCAGCCAGAGAAACAGAAATTCCCTAGATCCGAAGCTACGGATCTCGACGAGTCTCTGTTACGACTAGAAAAAAAAAATAAGCGACTGAAATCGAGCAACTGAAATTCTCTGGATCCAATGTTTAAATTTTGCGAAGACTGCAGTGAATTCTCCGCAATCGATCTTCGGCTTCTCAACAAAATTAGACAATTTACGAAGATTATCGGATGATTGGACAATTATTCGAGCCTCGGGGCTCGTTTTTACACTTGTTGACAATCGCCAGAACGAGTCGGCGAGGCCCGAACAATCGCATCTTCTCTTCCGAAATCGTTCGCTTTCGTTCAAAAGACGAGACAGAAACTGACGAGAGAGAGAGAGAGAAGCTGATCAGAGAGAAGCTGATCAGAGAGAATCCACTGTAATTAAAAACGAGGGGCGAGAAATCAGCCGGAGAGAGACCGAGAGATCTGCCGAATTCGATCTTCGAATCGCGGGAAGTCGAATTAAAAATAGAAGAGACATTCAGAGTAACAAGAGATA